CTGTGGCAATGGTTGTACAACTGTAAATACACTTAATCAGCATTTGATTATACAAGTGAATTTTATAGAACATACATTTTCACAATGTCTCATAACCTTTTCCCTAAGATCAAGTATAGCATATACATTCTACCTCAATAAAGCTTTCAAAAAAGATGTTTGAAATGTTCAATAATAAACCCTAACATGCTGCTCTCAGCTAGGAAAGTTACAAAAGTAGTTATGTTCTATAAAATTATCTCTCACCACTGTTTTCCATTCCTATAGATTTATAGGGCTAGCTGGGAGTGGTAGCACAAAGTTGTTGAGAACCATAGCAGAATGGCCGCTGGCATTTTGCCAGAAGTAATGCTTGAGAGGCGAGCCATTAAGATGATGATAATTAAGTTAAGCTGTGTATAATTGCTGTGACTGGATGATCATGGATTGAGACAGGCTGTATATTCAATTGTATATAGACCCCTGCTGTCCACCTGGGCGTCAGCTACTTTGGAGTTCTTGCAGGGATTCCTGGGGAGTCGCGTTGCTTGGTGAAGTTCCGGTGGAGGAGTTCTGGTTGGTGTGTGGGGTTCCTGAAAGGGCCGTGTGGGTGGTGTTGGGGGGAGTTCCGAAATAAAGTTTGTTCCTGCTTGAGTGGCTCATGGTTTGTACCTAGCCAGACTGCGGCACAAAGTAATCCCAGTAACTCTGAAAACTGAGCCAGGAGCACAAGTTCAAGGTCAACCTCAACAACTTAATGAATTCTTAAGTAATTTAGCAAGACCCTGTCCCAAAATAAAAAGGACTGGGGATGCTGGGGATATAGCTCAGTTGGTAGAGTGCTTGCCTCACATGACAAGGCCCTGGGTTCAATATGCAGCACCACCAAAAAAAAAAAAAGGGGACTAGAGATGTAGCTCAGTGGTCAAGTGCTTCCAGTTTCAATCCCCAGTACAAAAGTAAATTTATAGGGCTGCAAACAAATATTTCTAGAACTATAGATCCTCTGATAAGTAAAAATGCAACATACAGGACAATGATAGCATGCTACCATTTGTATAAATATTGTGGGGAGGGAAAGCCCATCATATTTTGTGTAAAATCTTCAAGGTCCATCTCATCACTGGTTCTAATTATTTTGTGAAATATTTGGGGAGTGGGGTAATGCTTGAGATTGAACCCAGGACCCTGTATGCTAGGCAAGTGTTCTACCACTAAGCTGTAATCTCAGACCCAAGCTCAATTCATGTAATCAGAATCCTGCAGTGCACTGACACAAGGCATTACACACTGACTACATACCTCAAGGCATGATGACCTGTTCTTTGAAACTCTTCAATTACAATTTATACTTACAGTCAAGCATATATGTTATATCCATGTATGTGGGGGCAAGGGGAGGGTAAGGAGGTAGGAAATTCAGTATCCACCACACACTAATAAATACTATAGAAAGAAGGTTGTTGTACTGTATGTAAATAAACTTCAGCTGGGCATGGTGGTGCATGCCTGTAATCCCAGCAATTTGGGAAGGTGAGGCAGGAAGGACATCACAAGGCCAGTCTCAGAAACTTAAGATACTCATTAGGTTAGTGAAACCCTGTGTCAAAATTAAAATTAAAAGACTGGGGACATAGCTCAGTGGTAAAGTGAACCTAGGTTCAAACCCCAGCATTCTCTCAAAAAATAAATTAACCTCGATTTAAAACTTCAAAACTTTGGGAGGCCGAGAAAGAAAAATCACAGTTGGAAGCTAGCCTCAATAACTTAGGCAGGCTTTAAGCAGCTTAGAGAGAACCTGTCTCAAAAATTGAAGGGCTTTGTGCCTGACATGGTAATGAGGCCCAAAAACTTATTGAGACCCTGTCTCAAAGGACAGGGAGCACAGATGCAGTGGCACATGCCTGTAATCCCAGCTACCTGGGAGGCTGAGGCAGGAGGATCACAAATTCAAAGTCATCCTCAGCAACTTAGTGAGGCCCCTCCAGCAACTCAGCCCGACCCTCCCTGTCTCAAAAGTAAAACAAAAAGGGCTGAGGATAGGCTCAGTGGTTAAGCAACACCCCCCACACACACACAGTTTCAATTCCTGGTAGGAAAAAAAAAAAAAAGTCTGGGGATGTAGCTCAACAGAGTTCACCTGGACTTAATCCCCAGCACCAAAAAATAAAAATTAAAAAAAAAAAAAAAAAAAAAAAAAAGAGCTGGGCGCAGTGGCACATGCCAGTAATCCCAGCAGCTGGGGAGGCTGAGGCAGGAGGATTGCAGGTTCAAAGCCAGCCTCAGCAAAAGCAAGGTACTTAAGCATCTCAATGAGGCCCTGTCTCTAAATACAAAATAGGGCTGGGCTTGTGGCTCAGTGCCCCTGAGTTCAATCCCCAGTATCCAAATAAATAAGTTCTGGGGGTGTAATTCAGTGGTAAAAATACCCCTGGATTCAAGCCCCAGTACAAAAAAAAAAGTTCAAGACCAGCCTGGGCAATTTATCCAGACCCTGTCTCATAAATTTAAAAAAAAAAAGGGGGGGGGGGGGGTTGGAGATGGAGCTCAATGTAGAGTGCCTGTCTAACTTTGTGAGGCCTTGGGATACTTCCCCAGCACCACAAAAAAATGTAGTTAAAAAAATATAACTTCAAGTGGCTAAAATTAATAAAATGCTGTGTATTAAGGCAATTTTTTCCAAGTGAGCAGTTCACTGCCACTGAAAATATTGGGGGCCAGTGAACTACTTCATATCCCTGTTCTACACAAAGAGAGACTAGGAGATTTGCTCAGGGTACAGAGCTAGTTAACAGTAAGCTGAAGGGCAGATGCAGAATTCTCATCTGTTTACTTCAAATCCAGGGTTCTCTCCACTCCATCATTCTCATTCTTTCAGATTTTTTTTTTATTTTAATTCTTTAAATTTTTTTTTTAGTTGTAGATGGACACAGTACCATTATTTATTTTTATGTGGTGCAGAGGATCAAACCCAGTGCCTCAGACATGCTAGGCAAGCACTCTACCACTGAACCACAACCCTGTCCCTCTTTTTGAATTTCTTAAAGACTCCAGTTTGCATACAAGAGGATTATGACAGAATAAAACTCCACAGGTCTCAGTGAAAACTTACAGTACACACATGTGGCTAAATGTGTCCTTCCCAAGCTTGCCAAACCATTACCTCCTCAGTTGGTGAGATAAAATGGGTAAGGAATTAAATCTGAATAGATCTAAGCTGTAGATTTTTAGAGTTTGAGGGAGGTCAATAACAAATCCTTCCAAATTCAAATATGGAATTTGATTGTGACTTGAAGAAAAAAAAAAAACATAAATATGACTATAAACAATATACTTATCACTCATAAAAGGGGGGGGGGAAATAAATTGTACGGATTATCCACTGCTGCTAAAAAGTGTTCTCCTACATGATGCAAAATAATCTGCTAATCACTTTGCTTTTCAATATGCAAAGAAAAATGCATACCTGTTACACAAAAACAGTATAAATAGAACTGCAACTTTACAAGGGGTGGGGGATGATGATGCACAATAATAATGCACCTTAACTAGAACAGTATGCTAGAACAGTATGGTTAAGTCCATTCCTTGAGCCCCAGCTGTCTTTCAGAGAAGGAAATGCTAATATAACTAGTTACACATCAATAGGTCATAATAAAGACACCTTTTCAACAGGCAGTTTTTACTTTATGTTGACCATCGAAGGACATTTAAAACTAGAAAGTTTTGAAGAGTCCTTAAGATGCAAACTGAAATTCCCCACTTCGTGACAGTTAAGTCAAGTCCACAGAGCTAATCAGCAAAGAAAGATTAAGAAGAAACGCTGAAAATAATAAATCACCGCCACCATATAAAATCTCGTGGGATAAAAGATACACTGAAATGAAAATCTGTAGAGAAATTATTCTGCATACGTATAATACTCGTGCGTTAGAAGAAGGCCCTTCATAAAAATAGCCAAGACTCTCAAACATTTGAGATGCTGGCTTAGTGAGATTGACTGACAGACAACAGCTGGGCAGATTTTGTATTGATCTTGTAACATTCTGGCATGCTTTGGAAGAAAGGGAGAATCGAAGGAAGGAACCGTTATTAAGGCAAAAATAAACTGGATTTCATTTTCAGCTGCGTGACCCCTCTTCACACTGGAAGCCCCCTAACAAATTACTCCAGATTCCCTCTTCCGTATCCCAGCCTGGATTCTAGGGTCACACACCTCCTTTCTCTCAAAGGAAACAAAAAGAACCTCGTGAAAACAAAACAAAACAAATAACCACCTTAGAGAAACTGGTATAAAAAAAACTAGTCGCCTCTCCACTTGTCTCCCTAATTCATTTCACGTTTTAAATCTTCACAACTCTCCTCTTTTCTTCCGTAATAGAAGGGGCCAGAGTAAGGCGCCGCCCAATTACCCAGGCCGCAAAAAATAGCTCAACCCGCCACATTCAAGGTTTTCTACTTTTCTCTCTGGGATACCAGCCCCCAAGCCGCTACCCCGCTTCCCCTTCAGACTCTTAAAGGCTTCAGAGCCCCAAACCCTAACAATACAAAGATGAATTCCTGAGATTCCGCGAAGCACCCCCGAGGGGGTGGGCAGAGCGCTCCCGCTCCGCCGGGTCGAGGGGAGGGGGAGCGGGTGTAAGCACACAATCCCACCGCCTCCTCTCACGGCTTCCCCACCTCCAGGGGCTCGGGCCTGTTCCCAGGGAGCTCCCAGCCACCCCGCAGCCCAGGGCTTCTCCTTGCCGGCCCGCCAAGGGCCTCGCCGGCATCCAAGAAGGAGGCTCATGAACAGAAAAAAGCAAGAGGTGTCCGACGTGTTGTTTCCAAACATAACGGAGCCTGGGCCCCCGAGACCGTTAAACCGCGGGTGGAGGGGGGAGAAGCGAGGAACCCTGCGGCCTCTGGCGTTGGCCTGGCCGCCCTTTCGACCCCAAATTTCACTCTGTGGGATCACCAATCCTCCCTCAAACTCGCTCCAGCCCCCAGAAGACCCTACAAAGCGTCAAAAGGGTCAATACCTTGTAGAAAGCCCCGTTAGAGCCGCGAACCTCCACCGTCAGCTCCGCCATGTTGGAACCGCAAAGGCCGCTGGGAAGAGATTCTAGAAACTTTCCAACCAGAGGGGAGGAGGGGGGAGGAGCGTGAAGGAGGCGGGGGGAGGGGCGGGGAAAACAGGGAGGAGATTGGGATCCCCCGCCCCGCACCCCTGGGGTCTCAATGTACCGCCCCGACTCTCCCAGCGGGATCCCTCCGCTCCTTACATCACTCGCGGTGGGCTCCGCCCGCCACCGCCTACGCCCAGTTCGCCTCCCGACACAATCGCCCGACCTTTGCTGACCCGCCCCCGAGTCCCCGCCCCCGAGTCCCCGCCCCCGAGTCCCCGCCCCCTGAGCCCGCTGCCTGCTCGGCTCAGTGGGTCGGCTCCCCGGCTTGTGCACTCGCAGACGAGGGATCGGCCTCCTCCCCTTAAACTTCAAGGGCTAGCAGCTTCAGAGTGACTTGCTCACCTTCAGAAGAGTAACTTTGGTGACCCCAATTGTCCGCTGAGGCATAAACGTGCATTCTATTGTGCTCCAAATTTTTGCACCCTGTTTTTTGCTCCTAGCTTTTTGTTTTGGGTTTTTTTTTTTGGTCTCCCGCCTCTCCGGTCCCTCCCCTCCCCCGACTCCGCCCCTTACTAGGGATTGAACCCAAGGGCGCTCCACCACTGAGCTACTACGCCAACCCTTTTTATTTTTCGTTTTGAGACAGGGTTTCCCTAAATAACCCAAGCAAATCTCCGGGTCCACCCCAGCGCTCTGAACCCCCACCTTTTTAATAAGGACTTTATTATATGCAAATTCCACAGTTCCACACCCCATCACAGTTCAGCCAACTTTCTTCCCCACCTGTTACCACTTTAACTTAAGTATATTCAGGGCAATTTAGCGGTGTTCACAACCTGGAGCAGAGTTTGGGTCAATACTCATTACTGGAAGTACTCAGAGAACCTCACAAAACGGGAGGCCACTTTTCGCCTTACTAACACATGCAGTTTCACAAGTAAGATAAAAGTGGAACCATCTTGTCTGATTCTACCAGAACCTACCCCCACTCTGAAAGCATCCTGACACAGATCCTTTGAATGTTGTTTTAGCAATTTAATACCACAACTTTTTCCCAAAGGAATGCCTAACGAAATAATACTAGTAGGGCTCTATTATATGTGTGATGATACAGTAGTATTATCATTTTCACAGAAAAACTTTTAAATGATGCTTTGCTAGTACTGGGTATTCCCAATGGAATGCCCACTAGCCTAGCTTTTGGAGTCCCCTCAAAAATGTTGGCATTTGAGCTGGGCGGTGGCACACACCCCTGTAATCCCACGGATTCCAGCAGTTGAGGCAAGAGGATGGCAAGTTCGAAGCCAGCCTCAGCAATTTTGCAAGACCCTGCCTCAAAAAACAAAAAGGAAAACAAAGAAACAAAGCTAAAGGACTGGTGATGTAATAGTGGTAAAGCGCCTCGGGGTTCACTCCCTAGTTCCAATATTTTTTTTTAAGTACACATTTGATTAGCACTTAAAGCATCTCCAAAGGTTCACAAAGGAAATGGGGACTCAAAAGGTACTCAGTGTTGTTATAAATGTTCTTTTAAAAATGTCCTTTTAAACACTTGCTGGTTTGCTCTTCTCCTGTTTTTGATTCTTTGTTTTGTAGTTTGTTTTGTTTTGGGGGGTACGGGGATTGAACTCAGGGGTACTCAACCACTGAGCCACATTCCCAACCCTATTTTGTATTTTATTCAGAGACAGGGTCTCACTGAGTTGTTTAGCGCCTCGCTTTTTGCGGAGGCTGGCTTTGAACTACTGATCCTCCTGTCTCAGCCGCTGGAATTATAGGCGTGCCTCCACCGCTACCAGCTGTATTTGTGTTTGGTTGGTTGGTGGGTGGGTACTGGGAGTTGAACCGTAGTTGCTTTATCACTAAACTACATCCCCTGCCCTATTTATTTTTTATTTGTCAGGATCTGCTAAATTGCAGATATATATGGAGAGAGAGAGAGAAAAAAAAATAGAAATACACTAGGGATTGAACCCAGGAGTGTTTAACCATTCAGCCACATCCCCAACCCTTATGTTTTGAGACAGGGTCTTGCTAAATTGCTTAAGGCCTCACTAAGTAGCTGAGGCTGGCTTAGAATTTGCAATCCTCCTGGCTCAGCCTCCCAAATTGCTGGGATTGCAGGTATGTGCCACTGCACCTGGCTCACAATCAATTTTAGAACATTTTCACTACTCAAAAAAAAAAAAAGAGTGGGGGGATGAAAGTGTACTCACTCCCCATTTCACCCTAACCCCCCAGGAAGCCATTAATCTGTTTTTTTTTTTTTTAATCTCTACAGATTACCTATCTAGCTATTTCACATAAATAGAAATGTGTAATATATGGTCTTTTATGCCTACCTCTTTTCACTTAGCATGTTTTCAAGGTTCATCCTGTAGAAGCACATATTGCTACTCATTCCTTTTTGTCAAATACAGTATACCATTGAATGGGCACCCATCATTTTATTGTGATTTGTGGAGAGGAGGTAGACTGATACTGGGGATAGGAGCCCAAGAGAAGCCCAAGTGCTAACCATGAACTCTGGTGAGCTACAGCCTCAGCTCCTTACATCATTTTATTTACTCATTCATCAGTTTACAGGCATTTGGGTCAATTCCATTTTTTGGCTATTAGGAATAAAAAGATTCCTGTACACATTTTTTGTATATGCCTTTTATTTTTTTGGTACTGGTTAAACCCAGGAGTGCTTAACTACTGAACCATATCCCAAGCCCTATTTTTTTTTTGAAACCAGATCCTGCTAAGTTGCTTAGGGCCACACTAAATTTCAGAAGCTGACTTTGAACTTGTAATCCTCCTGCCTCAACCTCCTGAGCCACTGGGATTACACATGTGTACCACCACACTGAGGGAAGATCTTTTTTTAAAATCATCTTATGAAGATATTCACTATTAAAAGTATTAAAAGGAAAAGAAGTAAAAAAAAAACTAGAATGCATAATCACATTTAAAATTGTGTGTGTCTATAGAAAGATAAATAGTCTGGAAGTTAATATTCCTAATATTAATGATGGATATTTCCATAAAGTGAATTCATGGTTGACAAAAAAATATAATTTCAAATTCTTTGTACTTTCTAAATTTTTTGTAATGAACATATCACTTAATCATTGGAAATTAAGATGTCATTTTTTTAAAACTATACCATGGAATAATCAACAGCCAGTAGAGATTAATTTATAGAAGGAATATCTCAGAGAGAGAGATGGAAAATGTATTATAAAGACTTTTACAGGACTGACTGTATAGCTTAGTGGTAGACTACTTGACTAATGTGTGAGGTCTTTGGTTGATTTCCAGCCTGGCTCAGGAAAAAAAAAGAGAGACAGAGACTTTACCAAGATGTTAACTATGGTTCTCTTAGGACAGCAGGATTATGAATTATTTTTCTTTGAGCTTTTCTATGTTTTCCAAGTTTTCTGTATTAAAAAGCAGTATTTCAAAAAGAAAAAGTAGCTATGTCTCTCTCTGCAGATACTCCAAATTCTCCCTTGATTGCATATTCTTTGCTTTACCCCAAAGGTGTCTCCTTTTGAGATTGCCCCCATTCTTCCTTTTTTTTTTAAAAAAAAAACAACAACTCAGAAATAAGTTCTTGGTTTATTTTACTTTTTTTTTAATATATAACCACAATTATTATTTTTTTTAGAGAGAGAGTGAGAGAGAATTTTAATATTTATTTTTAGTTTTCGGCGGACACAACATCTTTGTTTGTATGTGGTGCTGAGGATCGAACCTGGGCTGCACGCATGCCAGGCAAGCGAGCTACCGCTTGAGCCACATCCCCAGCCCCCCCCCCCCCATTCTTCCTTGAATGTGTATCTACTTTCCTAAATAAACTTCTGCTATGCCTTTGGAAAAAAAAAAAGAGTTAATAAAAAATAAAAACCAGTATTGTTAATTTTTAAATTATAAATTAAATAGAAAAATATGTTTTAACAATAAAAGTAAGCACGCAGTGAAAACTTTGTTAAATAGAAATTACAGAAGACATAGTTTTGGACTAAGCTGCTGCAACAGGCCAGACTAAAAATCAAAATGGAGCCACCCATATTACGGTCATACACCCAAACAGACCAATGTCACAGTTACCAAAAGCTTGGTCCTTGTCCTTGATGCTAATCCAATAATGAGGACATAGTTTTAAGAAAAAAGAAGGCTTCCTGCTTTGCTATCAATGGAGAAACTCAGGGGACTCCAGTCCCAGAGGCTGTGACTCAAAGGTTACATTCCAAGTGTTCTCTCTTGGAGTTGTAATTCACTTGCTAATTTGGGAGATAGTCATTTCTGAGATATTCTGGTACCATCCTCAAAGTCTAGATTACTGCATTGCTATGGTGGTTGGAGGACAGATAAATCTGCCTTGGATAGGGAAGAAAGGTAATCCTATTTCCCCTGAAATTAGGGAGGGGGAGAGATTAGGGAGGAGCAGGGAGAGAGGAAGAGAAAGAAACATGACCTTTTTAAAAGTAAGTTTTAACTTGAATCAAATGTATGAAATATGATATGTCAAGAGCATTGTAATGCTTTGAACAACCAATAAAAAAGCACCATAAAATATAAAATAAAAAAAATAAAAGTAAGTTTTAGTGGCAGAGTAGCAAGAGCTATATTCAATGCATAAATAAAGTAACCTCTGTTACATCAAGATGTGGAAGTTTCTGCTGCTTAAATCCTTTCACTTACATCAGTAATAATGTCAATTAAGAACTTAAAACTAGCTTTTGTAATTCTAGCTTTGTGTTTGTTTTTGTTTTTGGTGTATTGATCTGTAAAACATTATTTTGAATATTTTCAAAGTAGTATACTTGAAAAATAATTTTAACTTGTCTAAATTGAGACCAGAGTTTTCCTTCAAGAAACCAAGAATTGAGAATTCTAAAATAACTTTAAAATTTTCAAAAAGGCAGTTCCTAGAATAAATTGTGCCTGATTTTCTAAATAGTTAATGAATGAATGATTCCAGAGACATAATTTGAAATATTTCAAGCCAGGTGCAGTGGCACATGTCTGTAATCCCAGCAACTCAGGAGGCTGAGGAAGGAGGATCACAAGTTGGAGTCCAGCCTCAGCAATTTAGCAAGACCCTATCTTAAAATAAAAAATAAAAAGGCTTGGAGATGTAACTCAGTGGTAGAGGGCTCCTAGGTTCAATCCCAAGTATTGAAAAAAAGACTCAGATTCTGAGTAGGCATCTTTGATATTTTTAATCATAGCACATTATTAGCTATGGAATATAAGAATTAGTATCAAGGCCTGGCACAGTGGCACATATCTGTAATCCCAACAACTCGGAAGGCTGAGACAAGAGGATCATAAGTTCAAAGCCAGCCTCAGTGACCTAAAGAGGACTTAGGTAGTTTAGCAAGACCTTGTTTCAAAATTAAAAAATAAAATGCTGGGGATGCAGCTCCATGGGTAAGCTCCCCTGGTACCAAAAAAAAAGAAAAAGAAAAAGAAATTAATATTGAGGTTGGGGACTTAGCAAAGGCCTTGAGTTCCATATCCAATATTGCAAAATAATAATAATAATAATAATACTGTAACAGGTATTCACTTGATACTTTGACTACATATGGCTTTGAAACATACACATTTTTTTTCTTTTCCCCTAAACTCCTCCCTGATCTTCTTTTTCCTAACCCTCTCCTCCCTGACCTTCTTTGCCCTGATATTCTGAGATCTTGCTTTTCCCTAAACTTCTCCTCCCTTAATTTCTTTTTTCCCTGAATTTCTCCTTCCTAGTCTTTCCTCCCTAATCTCATTTTCTCTGAATCACCTCTGTAAAAGCCCCCCTGTTCCTGTGAATAGGCAGAATCACAACCTTTGGGACAGAAGTCCCCTGTGTTTCTCCTTTTCTAGCAAAGCAATAAAACTTTTTTTATTTTATTTTTTTAAGATCTTGCCTTCATTATTGGATTGGTGTCCAGGACAAGAACCAAGCTTTTGGTTACAATATTAAGGAAAATTACTTTTTAATTTTGGGTGTGTTTTCAGACTTTTGTGTGTGTGTGTGTGTGTACAGTGGGGTGTTTTACCACTGAGCTATATCCCCAACCCTTTTTTAGTTTTTTATACTGAGACAGGGTCTCACTAAATCACTGAAGCTGACCTCAAAACTTCAATCCTCCAGCCTCAGCCTCCTGAGTTGCTGGGATTATAAGGGTACCACCACACCCAGCTAAAGTAACCTAACTCTTTGTGCTGTTGTGTTAGCTCAGTGATAGAGTGCTTGCCTAGTATGTGTGAGGCACTGGGTTTGATTCTCAGAATGTAACAAGACTTCACTTGTTACTCTGACTATATGCCTTGTGGCTTTGAAACTTAAGTGTTTCTTTTCCCTGAACTTCTCCCTGATCTTCTTTTCTCTAACCTTCTCCATCCTGATCTTCTTTTCTTTGATCTTCTCCTTCCTGATCTCTCCTCCCTAATCCCATTTCTCTGAATCACCTCTACAGATAGAATTACAGCCTTTGAGACAGGAGTCCCCTGTGTTTCTCCTTTGCTAGCAAAGCAATAAACCTTTTTCCTTTTTCTCAAAACCATGTCCTCATTATTAGATTGGCATCAGGGACAAGGACCAAGCTTTCAGTCACAAAAAGATAATCTAGAGACAAAATAGAACACATATGAAAGAAAAAAGGCTATGTTTTGTACCAATGATCTAAATAATCCCATAGAAAAATGGACAAAGCACATAAACAGCTGAGATCAAACTTAATAATGGGGCTGGAAGTGTAGCTCAGTGGTAAAGCACTCATCTAAAATGAGCAAGGCCCTCGGTCTATAAACAAAGGACTTAAAAACCGCATACTACAGGGACACAGCCATATCAATTCCCGGTACCACAAAAAATAAACAAATAAGTAATAAATAAGTAAAAGGATCAAGCTGTGAGTGGTGGTGTTACAGGGCTAGGGACTGCCACAAAACCAAGCCAGCTCAGCGGCCCCCCTTCAAACATTGATTCTCCTGAGCAGAGCGAACAATTTCACACAAGTCACTCAGAATAATAACAAGCATGAGTTTATTAGAAAGGATAGGAAATGGGGAGAAGGGGACACTTTCAAAGGTGAGATTGGGTCCTCTCAGAGAAAGGGACAATGTGCCTCTTCTGCTCTCCAATTTCATTAGGGTGTCCCAAGGACATTTCCAGAGAGTACAGCAGGATGACAATAGAGTTTCAAGTCCCCATTGTTCATGACAAAGCTAGATCACTTTCACTTTGACCCAAGCTGACCAATTCTAAGTGGAAGCTGTTCTTAATTGATTTTATGGTTGAGGGGAATTGTCATTATCTTCCTGAGTTCTGAGATCTGATCTGTCTGTGTAAATGTCACTAAAGTCCTGCTTCAGAGTAGCTTGTGTTCTGCTTATCTGTATTTTGGGACAGCATTTACCCTGCAGATAACAAGTTGTTTGCTAAGGAAGGTATTGTATCCTATGGACTTAAGCCAGGCAGGCTTTACTTTTTAGAAAAGAAAACAGGTGAGCCAGGTGTTGTGGCACACACCTGTAATCCCAGCAATTTGAGAGGCTGAGGCAGAGGGATTGCAAGTTCAAGGCAGCCTCACCAGTTTAGTGAGATCCTAAGCAATTTAGCAAGAGAATCTGTCTCAAATAAAAAGGGCTCAGTATAGGGCTCATTGATCAGGTACCCATGGGTTCAATCCCTGGTATTAAAAAAAGGAAGAGCTTCTATAGAGCACAAGGCAATTTAATGGCATCTTGCAGATTAAAATTACTGCAAGAATGAAAAAGGAAAACTTAGTTCAGTTGAAACTTTTCACTCTTTTCACATAGAATATTGAAATATTTTTATTTCATTATATTGTATACATTTTTTGGGGGGGGGGATACAGGGATTGAACTCAGAGGCACTCAACCACTGAGCCACATCCCCAGCCCTTTTGTATTTTATTTAGAGACAGGGTCTCACTGAGTTGCTTAGTGCCTCGCTTTTGCTGAAGCTGGCTTTGAACTTGTAATCCTCCTGTCTCAGTCTCACAAGTCACTGGGATTACAGGTGTATACCACCACATCATCCTTAATTGTTGTTGTTATTGTTGTTGTTGTTAATTGAAACCAGTAGTAGTAGTACTCTACCATAAAGCCACAACTCAAGTCTTTTTTATTTTATTTGGAGACAGGGTCCCACCAAGTTTTGAGGCTGGCTTCAAACTTGTGATCATCCTACTTAGGGCTTCTTAGTAGCTGGAATTATAGGTGTGGGCCACCACACCGGATTTATATACTTAATTGTTTACAACATTTTTACTCATAATATTTTTCAGCAACCCATATTCTCTTGGAAGTTGTTTGTTTGTTTTTGCATTGCTTGGGATGGAACCCAGGGCCTTGCATATGCTAGGCAAGTATGCTACAACCCAGCTCCCTTTAAAAAAAAAAATTAACTGTATTTAGTATTTCATAAATATTTATTGTGCAATTAAGAATTAAGTTTGGGGGCTGGGGTTGTGGTTCAATGGTAGAGCACTTGCCTAGCATGTGTAAGGCTCAGCACCACATAAAAGGTTCGATCCTCAGCACCACATAAATGTAAAATAAAGATATTGTGTCCATCTAAAATTAAAAATAAATTTTAAATAAATAAATAAACAATGGTATTGTGTTCATCTACAACTAAAAAAAAAAAAAAAGAGGAATTAAGCTTGTGGAGCAGCGTGAAGAAGAGGCAAGAATGACCCCTACACCAACCAAAGCCACGGACTGCTGTGTCCCGGCATCTAGCGCCTGCCTCCCCCAGCCATGTCCAAGAGAAAGACTGAAGTGGATGCTACAGGAGATAAAGCCAAGGTGAAGGACCCAAGGTTGTCTGCTAAACCTGCTCCTCCAAAGCCAGAGCCCAAGCCTAAAAAGGTCCCTGCCAATAAGGGAGAGAAGGTACTCAAAGAAAAAAAGGGGAAAGCTGGCACTGGCAAGGATGAGAATAACCCTGCAGAAAATGGAGTTGCCAAAACAGACCAGGCACAGAAAGCTGGAGGTGCTGTAGATGTAAAAAGGAGTGGGTCTTTTTGATAACTGTGTCTTTCTGGTGACTGTACAGTTTGAAGTACTATTTTTTATCAAGTTTTATAAAAATGCAGAATTCCATTTTGCTTTTTTTTTGTTTGTTTGTTTAAGCTTCATTGTTAGCACACATAATACTTTGTTCTTATTTGGGCGTGTGGGGAGCATATGTCACTAGTAGAATGTCTCCAAAGCTGGATTGCTGACGGGGAAAACACCTTTCCCTGCTAGTTTTGAGAGACTTCCTCCTTCTGGGAGGAGGGATTCCCTGATGTAGTCACACACAGCAACCTTGGCACAAATGCCTTGTGATATGGAAAACTCAAATTCATCTTTATGTCCTTCTCTCCCCCTCTGCCATCCGCATAGAGTTAACTCCCCTAAACTCAGACCTGTAAGGACCTGACCCTCCAAAATTGGTTTTACCAGTGTGTCAGGCAATCTGAACTTTCCATGATATCACTGAGATGGTTAGTGTCCCTCAGAAGAGCAGCAGTTCCTTTACATTGTGGATCTTCAGATTAATAATTCTGCCATTTTCAGAAAGTCAAGGTCACTCATGAAAAGTTGTTAAACAACATGTAAATGTGAAATGTCAACCCTCACTCTAAACTTTCATTACTCAGAGCTTACTCAGTGGCTTTCTGATTTTGGTAGCCCACCCAAGAAGGAATTTTGAAAGTTGTTATATACTGTTAACGATTGTCTGCCCATATCTTGTCTGAAATGCCATGATTGTTTATGAAAAATACCTTTAAGAAAGCTGGATACAGTTTGGCTTGAAAACAAACAAACAAACAAACCGGAATTAAGCTTGTTGCTAGGTATAGTGGCACACATCTGTAATCCTAGTGGCTTGAGAGGCTGAGGCAGGAAAATCTCCAGTTCAAAGCCAGCCTCAGCAACTTAGTGAGGCTCTATGCAACTCCATGAGAGCCTGTCTCTAAATCAAATATAAATAAGGCATGGAGATGTGACTCAGTGGTTAAGCAATCCTGGGTTCAATGCCTGGTACCAAAAAGAAAAAAAAAAAGAATTAAGCTTGTCTATTTTAACGTTGCTGTTACATCTGAAATAAACTTACATGATGTTCTGGTAGAATAAATGTATATTTAGTGAATGGATGGATAGATTTTTTGATCCACTTGGGAAGACTACAATAAGTCACTCTAAAAAATTTGAAATTGATGTATTTCTAAAAGGCAGCTGGAATATAAGGCTAAAAAGCAAGGATTGTAGAATCAAACTCTCTGGCTCTTCCACTTACTAGCTCTAAACTTGAGCAAATTATTTAAACTCTCAGTGCCCTGGTTTTCACAGCTGTGAAACTGGGATGAAAATAAATACTTTTTACAAATAAGCAGATGTAAAGATTAAATAAAACTACTTATAAGGTGCTTATAGTAATGTGTCACATATTAGGTATTCAACAAATGTTAAATATGGCGATGATGATTGTGAGAATCAAGCTCATCTATCCAAACCCAAAGAATGGACTGAGAGACAAAAGGTACAGAGAAAGTAAGGCTTTTAATGATGGTCTTGCAAGATCGAGTGTCTGGATGAGCCGGCACACATAGTGCACAGGGATCCTCCCTTGATTCCTCATTGGCTGACTACATGGGCTGTACTATCTTCCCAAACATCACCTAGGTTTTACTGTCTCCTCTTGGGTTATTTAAAGAAATGCACCTTTAATTGTCCCTACCTCCCCTATTCTCCTGCATCAGGAAGACCTTCTTGGGGTAAGTGCATTTTTGAACATGTATAGTTTATCTTTTTAGACAGGCCGGCCCCTTCCCTTTTACCTTCTGTTTTTCAAGGGTCTATGTATTTGTTACACTCCAATGTTAACTGCTTATACCTTCCTACTTTGCTCTCCAATCCAGTTGCTTTTCTTATATCCCAAGTAATTTTACATTTCAAGCTAAATACTGTATTCTGAAAACGGACCACTGAAATTTCTTTTCTTTTTTTTTTAAATATTTTGTTTATTTAGTTGTAGATGGATACAATACCTTTATTTTATGTTTATGTGGTACTGAGGATTGAACCCAGGGCCCTGCACGTGGTAAGTGAGCACTCTCCCACTAAGCCACAACCTGAGCCCCTGGATCACTGGAATTTCTATTTCTCACAAAGTCAGAAAATGAACAAGCCATCACATGTTTAGAAATGGGGAGATAGGGAGACTCTGTGATTATGGTTGAGTTTAACAAGAATTTTGTGTGTCTGTGGTACTGGGGATTGAACCAGGGGCCCTTGTTCACGCTAGGTAAGTGCTCTACCATTGAGTTATATCCCCACCCTTAAGAAAATAATTCTTTTTTGTTGTTGTTGTTATTGTTGTTTAAAAAAGAGAATTCTTATCTGTAAAGAAAAATAAAGATTGAAAAATCACAATAGAAAAAGCAGAAACCGGTTAAAAGTCTATTTGTACTTAGAAGAAATGAGGAGAAACCGAAGAAATAGTGTGGGTATGGCTCAGTGGTGGAGCACTCGCTTAGCATGAACCATGCCAGGGTTCAATCTCTATCACCATACAAGAAAAAAATATATACTGAAGAACAACGATGAGAGCTAGATGATAAGATGAAGTGGAGATATTTAAAATATGGAAGAAATGAGGCCAAGTAGCTAGAGATGTGATAAGAAAGGGGAGAAGCTGGGTATTGTGGCACATACCTATAACCTCAAATCAAGGCCAGCCTGGGGAACATAGAGAGACTCTGTCTCAAAAATATAAATAAATAAATAAGTTGATCGGGCATGGGGCACATGGCCTATAATTCCAGTGTATGCCTATAATCCCAGCAACTAGGAAAGCTGAAATAGGAGGATTGCAAGCTCAAAACCAGTCTTAGCAATTTAGTGAGGCTCCAAAGTGACTTACTGAGACCCTGACCCCAAATAATAAATGAATAAGTAAATAAAATAAAAAATAATTAAAAAGGGTTGGAGTATAGTTCATTGGTAGAGTGCCCCTGGGTTCCACTTCTATTAACACACATACACATGTGATATCAAGCCAAAGAAACCCTATTTTGTTTAGTAACTCCATTTTGTAAAACAACCATGCCAAGTAGAAGGGTCCTGACCAGGGAGAGATGTTCTTTTCCTTTTGCTATAGAAACCTTTAAGAACTCGGAACTTTCTAATGGGGCATTGTTTCTGTAACTAGGGTAACAGGGCTCTGTTTCTGTAACTGGGGTGACTGGGCTAACTGTGATTGGTTAGGCTTCCCTCCACTTGACTGCACTCTCTCACTTCTGTAACTTGGCTTGCTTGCATTGGCTAGACCCCCAAACTCCCTTTTGCAGTTTTCAGGCTTATAAGGAGCGCCCTTGCTATCTATTGTTTGGGGCTGATCAGGGGAACGGCTTTATGTTCTGGTTAGTCGCCACCTGTGTGCTTCAATAAAGGCTTGATTTGATTATATGTGAGTGGTCTGAAAGTCAGTTTATGAAACCCGGACGATGCTTTAACTATAACACACATACATACATATGCACACACATACACACACACACAGAGTGCAAAAATTACCTGATTGTGTGGTCCTGGAATAGTAATATGAAGTTGAGAAATGTCTTGTCCATTCACCTGAACATTTCTCTACTTCTCTTCATCACCACTGGGGCTACCAGAACCTGGATTCCCAGTTCTATGTTCAATGCATCCCAGTCCTGGATTCTCTGCAGAGCAGACCAGGTAGATTCTCATTCTTCTGAAAAAAGTTACTTCTTTCTTTTTCAGTGTTAATTTTTGTACCTTATTAAAGAATCAATTAGTTTACAAGAAATTTTTAGAAAAATTCAAGGTCTCATTCCTCTAAATTACCATTTTTCCTTTCCTAGAGAAGAAAGGAAATTTTTTACATTTTCAGCTTATTATTTTTGCTATCTTCCAAATATCTAAATAATGTGGGCATTATCTATTGACACCCCAATGTAGAAGAAGGGGCCTTCGGTTTCTTCCCTTACTGCTGCTATTTACATATGCATCCTTCTCTTCCTACACTTCACTCACATTGGATTTAGGCTAGATTAGTATTTTAGTATATTCATTAATTCAGATTTAAACCATAAGATAAATGAGGATTACTTCTCTAGAATGAATCTGTATTTTTCCTACAGTTTTCACTTGACTTTTTTAAGTTGGTTAATGTCCTACCTACTTAGCAGTAATACAAACCTAAGTTATTAATTGTCTAAAGGGTCACTAAAGAAATTCATCCATAGCTGGATATGGTGGCACATGTCTGTTATCCCAGCATCCCAGTGTCACAAGTTCAAAGCCAACTTCTGCAACTTAGTGAGGCCATAAGCAAATTAGTGAGACCTGCCTCAATATAAAAAAAATAAAATAAAAAGGGCTGGGATGTGGCTTAAGCCAATCCCCAGTGCCAATAAAGAAAGAAAGAAAGAAAGAAAGAAAGAAAGGAAGGAAGGAAGGAAGGAAGGAAGGAAGGAAGGAAGGAAGAAAATTAATTCACAGCAAGCATTCTATCAGGAGTTTATATTGAAGAAAAAATCTATCCCAGAGATTATTGTTGTTATTTATTATTATTATTACTGGGATTGAGCCCAGGGGTGCTTTACTACTGAACTACATTCCTAAACCCTTTCACTTTAATTGCTCAGGGGCTCTCCAAATTGCCAAGGCTGACCTTAAACTTGTGATCCTCCTGTCTTAGCCTCCCAAGTCACTGGAATTATGTGTGTGAGCCACCATGCCTGACTCTCCCAGAGACTTTTTACCTTCTCAAAACTGGTCTCATTACACCCATTTCAACTATCATTCTGATATCTCCCTTAACCAACATCCCAGGAACTTACTGACTTCATTTGTCCTCTGTTAGAAACATTTGTTTATCCCCCTATGCACTTTTTTTTTGTTGTTGTTGTTGTTACTATTTTTCTGGTACTGGGGATTGAATGAAGTGTTGCTTTACCACTGAGCTACATATCCAGCTCTTTTTACTGTTTTTTTTGAGGCACGGTCTATCT